CACTCAGAAGAAGGACATAATAGAATGCAGCTAGAGAAACTGTCATGCAACCAGAAATGTCATGAACGTCATTATTATACAGAGCTGGTTAATGAAATGATTCTAATTATATGCGAGTTTGTATCTGGGAGGTTCATTGCTACAATTTCATAGTAAAATGTTCTTGACTTCTACTATAGAGCTGATCACATCGGAATAACTCGTCAGTGTGACAGTTACCTGTGCTTGTCAATATAAACACGTCAAACCCTGAGCCAATAATAGGTATGTTTCAGCAAAATATCGGTAAGAATCTGTCTTGTCTCTTCCAAATAATTCTGCAGATGAAATAGCAAAGTATATGAAGTTACACGCGTCACATGTTTTGCTATTCACATATATTGCTTTGAAGAATTCACAACTGGAGAATTTCCAGGAAAAGTAAATATATATTGATTGGATAGTGCAATGGAACTGAGATCGATATATTCCTTGATTCTGATTATTCTGGCGGAGACGACAGCGAGTGTTTACAACTCATCCGCAAACATGAACATGCAACGAAATCTCATTCAAGAGCGAAAAGGCCACTCTGAAGTGTCATCAGCAATGGGAATGCCAGCAGCAACGTCAGGATCGATCGAGATTCAGTCTGCACAAAAGACAGTCTTATCTTCAATCGGATATTTGAAATCTATCAAATGGCACATAACCGATACGATACTTGCGAAACGTATCAGTGCGCATCGTTTCGAATACGCCAATATTGTCACACCGAAACTGGTATAGTATATTGTTACTCACTGAAATTTTTGTAAAGTTTTACTTATTGTTAGCAAAAATTTTTGAGTTGTTTCATTATCAGGGCTGAATTTTTTCGTTCCTGAAGAATTTTACTATGCAATCACTCAAAGCAGGTAACAATTGTTCAGAATTGAACACTGTAGATCATGTCATCAATAAGGTACAACGTAAAAAAAGTTGAAGGATTGGAACATTGATGTTGGAAATTTCAGTCGAACCATGCACTAAAACTCCGATACATCAATGAATTCTCTTAACGAGTTGTTGTGTGAGGTAGTCTGATTAAGGGCACCACGGAAAGCATAAGCAGTGTTATTTTGACAAAAATTTTACATTTGAAAGTACTAATACCTAAAGTGATAATGCAGTATCAAGTACTTTCAGTACCTAAAGTAAGTATATAATTCAGATTAATGGATATTTGGTTTACGAGGTGGGATTATTACGTGAATTCATTTTTGTGNTTCTTTCCTTACTGGATTTATTCGCATTAGATTCGGATAGTAATACCAATATGGTAGATGGGTGAGCAGTAATAATTTTGAAAAATTATTTATAAGTATAAACCACAATAAGTGGACGAATTTTAATTCGAGCTACCTGAATGATATAACTGATGTGAAGGACCGTAATTTTTGACGATCCAAATTGATATACAGTTACAGGAGTGCTACTTAAAACTACTGCAATAACGTAGGTTTACGAGAAGTATCTACGTTTTCCAGCATATGCTACATATTTCAGCGGTGGCTCTGCGTCACCGAGCTCTACACATTCGATCTCTCTAACGATCAGTTTTTTACCACCATAGTATTATCATGACTGCCATTTTTAAGCCATTTATATCCTCTGGTTCCATTAGCGATTGCTTATTTTTTTTCAAAATCCTCAGCAAAAGCATTTCCTCCAACATCAGGAAAGTGTATGAGCTGCTTAGAAAAGTTTGTAAGTATGTATGTAAGACCTCGCTAAAATACACCCATCCGTTTTTCATTGTACATATTTCGGTGTCTAATTATAAGTTATGAAATGTGTTCGCAATGTTTTTAAAGGGAAATCCGTGTGGCGATTGGCTCAAAAACAATGAATACGATCAAGCAGCATGCATCGATTATCACGGCAACATATGCGATATTCTCCATCCAATCTGGTCTTGTTTCGTTTTTTAGAATTCCCAGTTATCTTAAGGATTTAGAATTCAACTAATACTTTCGCTTTTTGAAACGCAACAAGTTCGTAAACTTTCGACGCCCAATGACTGAATATTCGAAAACAAACATTGCAAGTCCAGTGATTCATGGCATCTATGGTATTTATGGCCTCAAAGATCATTGTTGAGTTTGAGAATTCCATTTTCTGATCTCGATCTCGATCTCGATGAACAGCTTCAATTATTTGCTGATTTTCCACTAATGCTTTCAATATGTGAATCCATGGAATGCTTCTTAACCATGAGGATTGTTTGCAAACTCAAAAATTTATTTTTTGTTTTTGGCAGAACGATGCAAAATCGAATGTGACCCAACAACGCACGAGGATGACGCACTACTGCTGAGAAATGCACAATGTGATCGCAATAATTCTGGTGAGCTGATTAGTTTCTCATGCGATATTTCGTGCGTCCCATAAGTCCGTATGCATTCTAATGGCATTCGTATACGTTATCGGGATCTGCAACCCATGCCAGTATGTTCCAGGCTTCAGCCATATTTCAAGAACTCAATGTTCTCACCACTCATTTCGTTATTCTTACACCTGCTAGCACATTCCAACAACTTAAACGACTTAAACAATTTTGCATAGTAGTCCTCCATCTGTTCGGATGATGTCATACTCAAGACTAAATGATGCGCTTTTCAGTAACGTCAAATGATGTCAAAAGATTACGCTCAAGGCATTAGCATGCCTTGAGCGTAATCTTTTGACATCATTCACTCGTCATTTAATCTTGAATATTGCCGGTTTCAGCTCGTTAACAAAACTTTTACATCTTCACCATAGTATTGGCTTGATGAAAGCTCATGGCTCGATTCAATTTTCTTAGATTCTTAAAATTCATTATTACGTTATCAAACTACATTTGCAATAATTCAAGTGTTAATGGATGAAATTCATCGTGTGTATTACAAGAAGAGAATGAAAAAATAATTGGTATCGTTGAAGAATGAGAATGAAACGAGAAAACTTACTTTTAGTGGACAAATAACTGAGATTTGAATGATGAATTCCGATAAGTTATTGTTAGCGTATTCCAACTAAATTCTGGATGGATTCAAAAAATTGCCAGTAAATTAAAAATTCTAAAACTAACATATTTGATGAACAATTTCAATGAGAATGTTGATAGCTTCCTGAATTTGTTTCTTAACTCTGAATTCGTGCTTCCTAAATTTGTTTCTTAACTCATCTTCCCATAAAACGGCTCTTTGCTACACTGTTGCTTAGCAGCCTTTCCTGTGCTGTGCTTATCCCGTCGCTCCAAACAATAGTTTGCTCGTCGGTCGAATAAGAAGCAAATTTGAGGAAGTGAACAGTCGTCAGTCAGTCAGTAGTTAATGAGAATCGAAGAGTCTAACAATAAGCCAAAAATAAATCGCATTTGGTCAGCATCG